AAGGCTATGTCCCATGTGCGAGCGTCCTGCGGCATCGAGTGACCGCATGAGTAAACGCGCTACCTTGGTGTAGTGGACAAACATACGTACAGTGATATGCCCGTTAGCCGGAACAATTGGTGCAGAGCACTACCGGGGATGAGAGATTTCTGGGTAACAAGACAACTTTCTCAAACCCGAAAGATTCCTTATCCCCAGAACCTTTTCTGGTTACTGGAAAAAGTTTCCGTGTGTCTAAACTAGATCTCTTGCCCAGACGCACACTAGCCCACTTCCCCAGAACGTTTCTGGGTGCTGGAGATGTTTTCCTTGCAGCTAAACTACTGGAATCCATAAATACAGTTCTAATTAAGTTAGAAACTTAATTTTTTTACTATAATAATACAGAATACTTTATCTTAAAGTTTAGTTAAAGAAATATATTTAAAAACATAAAATATAAAGGATACGGGCATGAATGAAGCTGTGTATTACAGTAAAGACTGTTATTTTCCACTCCAATAGAGCTGTGGGGGATTAGTGGTCTCATATTACTGATCTGATGGAATGTCAGATTACCCTTTCTTGGGTGGAGGATTAGTGGGTCTCACCCTGAAGACGTCTTGAATAAACAGGAAACCTAAAATATTTTTAGAGAGATTGTGGTAAGTACAGATATACTGTAAGTATAAATGCGCAAAGTTGTATCCCTTCGACATTACTTTACATAACATTTTAAAATATGGAGTGAGAAAGCAGAAAGGTGTGGGGAAACAGAGAGATGTAGTGGAAATGAGTGTTGCCAAGCACTCCTCAAGAGCTGATATTTAACTTGCTACCATGCAGTCACACACACGCGGATGTGTCTTAATTCAATTGCTGGGGGTGTATGAGTAGTGTTGGGATGTGTGTGTGTGTTGGAGGGTGTGCTTGTGTGTGATGTGTAGGTGGTGTTGGTGTGTTGACGGAAGTGAACCTTTTTGGAGGGTAGGGTCGCATGGTCATTCCCCCCCTCCTTCCTCACTCAAGCGTGACTAACTGTGATAGGGAGATGAATTTTATATCATAATGATGCTTCATAAATTCTCTACCAAATGTTACCAATAGGATATCCTTAAACAAAATATTTCTATATGATAAAGTGATGGGAATACCATTCTTTTATAAGAAAAAAGTAAGAAATGTTGATACCGGAGTCAGTAAAATCAGTTCTAATTCCGTTATACAAACCATTTTTTTATCAAAATAATCCTGAATACTCCATCTAAAAGTTTGATTAAATTAATACAGTATATTTAAGAAACAAAAGCTCTACATGATACGGGTGTGAATACAGCTGTTACTTTTATCTTCTTCACCACTGATTAGCTTGTTAGTCGCTTGGGTGATCTGTCATATCTCTGCTACAAACTTCACTCAATTGCCTGTATTACAGGTACATAACTAATCATGTCTTAACACTTGTGATGAAGGTTGGGTGGGAGATTATTGGGTCACGTTACTAACCTGATCTGATGCAACGTTAGGTCACCCAGTGTTGGGTGGGGATTAGTGGGTCTTATGACCTGAATATGTCTTGAATGACATTATTTTTTACCTATGAGGTATATACATAGTACTATACTGTATTGTATATGAAGGGCACATGTATTAATAAGCACAGATTATTACAGTAATGTATCTGTACTAATTAATGAAAAACAAATAAACAATATTGTATCATGAATGAGTCAGTACAGTAGACAAACAGTGAGGCAACGACCCTTTGGGGGAGGGGGGCAGTGCGGTCACTGTTACCCCTCAATGGATCCTTCAACAACAAACGGAGGAGAGAAATTAACGCTTATAAAATGTCAATGATTTGACTTACAAGAATATAACTTACATTGCTGCAATTCTTGTAAGATAGTAATTAATTTGAGTATAAACATCCCTTATTTTGCACCACACACACGGGAATTAGTGGTTTGGGGGGTGTCGTGGTCACTTTTACCCCCCTAGACCCTTCTCCCTCCGGCTGGGAGGAGGGGGAGAGGTGGGTTGTTGACAGCCAGGAGTTGGGAAGATTAATGCGTACTCAAGGTAGAGGGGTTTCATCTGTTTGCTTATAAAATGTCACTGACTTGACTTAGGAAAATACAGTGGTCCCTCGGCTTAACGAGCAGTTCGATTAACGAAATGTCAGTTAACGAATTAAGTACCTCCCATAAGGATCTTCAATTCGGTTAACGAACAAAAGTTTGATTAACGAAATCCTTAAGACAAACATGTTTTGTTGTGATCAGTTGATGGGCTAGTCTGCCAATTCTATAATCTGTTCTATGTTTACATTCGTTTCCAGTGGAGTAAGTATCAAGAAAGTTGTGCTCTTTAATATTTGTGCATTTATTAAAATTAAAATTGTTAGTCATTTTAAAATTTACCGTAATTAACATATTGATAATATATGCAGTACAGGGAACTAGTTTTTTGTGCGCCCATCAGCCGCTTGACTCAGCCACCAGGTGTCAGTTTGGCTTTGTTGACAGTGGAGTGAACATCGATTTTGTTGGCGTCTTGAATATTTTTGCATTTTTACATTAAAATTATTGGTCATTCTGAAATTTAGTTAACATATTGATAATATACAGTATAGCACAGTGCAGTGTTGATTTAAATAAAATAATCTTGTATTACACCTAGTGAACTTAAAATTATATTGGTGAAATGACGGCATCAAGCATGGGTCCCCTTAAAGGTGATTTCTCCTCCATCCCCACTTCCTTCTCTTCTCCCTTCTCCTCCACCCCCACTTCTAATTCCCATCATCATCATCAACCAGGAACCTTCTACATACACACCTCAAAGTAAGTGTACTTTACTGCATTTTTTTACTTTGTATGTACTTTTCTGTGAGCTGGAACCAATTACCCAATATCCAATTGAAACAATGGATTCGGTTAACGAACGACTCTGTGGAACGAATTATGTTCGTTAACCGAGGGACCACTGTATAACTCACATTGCTGGAATTCTTGTAAGATAGCAATTATTTTGAGTATAAACCTCCCTCATTTTGCACCATACATAATAATTTTAGAAATTAACGTGCAATTGAGTACAGGTTGTGATAATTTGTGGCTGCAGTTTCAAAGCTTTGTGACATCACTAATGTATAATGAGTCTCCATATGCCCAGGTTTATTCCTTGATCAGTTGTCTTAGTGCAAAAGTAGCCCTGTCAAGCTATCATGTATCAATTAATTTTAAAATAGAAATTATAATGTAAACTGTTATAAGACAATGGTTTAGTAGTGCTGTTAATGTGTGTGCTGTGTAAGTGTCTTGGCATGTCACCTCACCACCTGACTCCTAAACAAACTCTTCATCAACTTCTTCAAATCCTACAATGTGCTTGGCAAGCTCAAAACACACACACACACACAGGAATTAAAACAACAAGCATCCAGTGAGGGTTTTGTTGTGTGGCTGCATGGAGGCAAATTAAAAGATCAGCTGTTGAAGAGCTTAGCGCTGGACAACACAGGTGCATTTTATCACTCCTTTCCACTCCAACTCTATAATCACCCGCACCTTTCTGCTTTTTAAAATGTTATGTAAAATAATGTTGAAGGGATAAAACTTTGCTCATTTATACTTATAATTATCACAATCTCCCTAAAAATACTTCAGGTTTCGTGTTTGTTCAAGACAACTTCAGGTCATGAGACTCACTAATTCCCCACCAAAGAAAGGGTGACTGACATTCCATCAGGTCAGTAATGTGAGACCACTAATCCCCTACCCCACCTCCACTTGACATTGATTAAGATCACGCCCCCCCCCCCCAAACAAAAAAATTTTTAACTTTCATCTTTATTCAAGACATTTTCAGAAACTTCTCTTGATTTTCAACCTCGGAAAATTTGTGACTAAAGCCGGAAATTTTTGGAAAATTCCGGCTTTGGTAATGATTTCCCAAATAAATTCCAATTCTGGCTATCGGAGATTTCCGGGTTTGAGGGATTCCGGCTTACGGAGATATTACTGTATGTATTTCTTTGATGTGTCCCATGTAGACGCATGAAGCATTCGCGAGTGACCAGGAAGTGGGAACTAGACGCGCGACCTGGAAGCAGCGATCAAATATTTTGATCGTCGCTTCCTTAGTCGCGCAAGTCCTCGTTTTCTACACCAAAACTAAAGCAGACTATACATTCATTTCCCACTGTTAACAGCTTGATCTTACCAAGAAATAGATCCTTGTGGACTATTTAGGTAGCTGCAAAATGTTTCTCTCACATTCTTTGCAGAAGAATGAGAAGCATTGTTTATTCTAGAAGCTGCTATGTTATTCTCAACTGTACACTCTTGAAATGCATATGCCGTTGCATCCAGACCCTTTGTGTCATTGATGATATTATGGAAAAGTGTAACACACTTTACAATGTCAACAGAAGTATCTACCTTTGTTTCAATAACTTTATTTAAAATTCTCCATTTACTTGTACAAATTCCAAATGCACACACCACAACATGCCTGGCATGTGACAATCTGTATATAAAATTATTTTTTCTGTCTAGAGCATTCCTAGGATAGGGTTCCAACAAATATACACAGAGTGGGTAGGCATCGTTCCGAATCAAAATACATTTTGATGTAATCATGAAACTTCTTTGAATTTTGGCGAAGTTCCTTGTAGAGATGATGAAATTTGCCTACTTCCATCCTCCTCTGAAATATGGAAAGTTTTTACCCAGGTACCTATGCAGTTACCACATGTTGAAAAGCATTATTTTCTAAAAGTACCAGCAAACATCTGCTCTGCGTAGATGGCATGTTTACACTGACAAGACGCTGGCAGGTGGGAAATAGGTTGCTTTGAAAATAGGTAGTGCACTGTGCCTTAGTTGCTCGATGCTGCAGGGCGCTTGCACATGGGATAGCCTTAAGAAGTTGCAGTTGGGGTATAAAAATGAAAATACTGTGGACAGGTTAAATAAATTTCAGACAAATATCACCTTCAAATAACAAACACAAACCTTTTCCATTGCACACAGATGTAGCAGATTCCAATGACTCCCATGATGACAATGATGCCAGCAAGTACAATAAGAGCTACCTGGAAGCCTTCAAGTGTCACAGCCTTCACCACAGGAGTGACAGGATGGGAAGTTTCCGTCACCTGAAAAATATTTGTATTTAGAGTAGGGCAACATTTCATTTATATACAGGCAATGACTGTCATACAATGGGGTTAGGCACCTCAAAAAGTCATCGATAAATGATCAATCATATATTGTATCAATATTAATAACTTATGGGGAAATATAAGTTCTGTTCCTGAGACCCAGTTCTATATCCTGCTGCTACAATGATTAGATAGTGTCTAAATAACTCAAATAATTTATAAATAGTCATATACCTGTACAGGGTAATCAATAAATCTATTAAAAATAAAGATAAAACCAGACTACAGCTACTCCTCGACTTACGACCTACTTGACTTATGACCATCCGGACATACAACCGCCCCAGTAGTACCAATTTTTTTTTCAAATTACGTATTTTCGAGTATCGACGTTAGTGATTGCGCTGTGTACCGACAAAATTTTCGTTTGTAATTCCCTTTAAAATGGCTGGCATGCTTAAAAGTGAGAGTTTTGTGGTGCTGAGAAGAAAAAGAGACCCATTTTAGATTTTCTATGTATTATCTTCGCATTTTCGACTTCCGATCAATTCAACTTACGACCTGGATTTGAGTCCCTAATCCAGTCGTAAGTCAAGGAGTGCCTGTATAGTTATTTTTTTACTGAGAAAAAAAAAAGCACCGCCCCACATTCTAATTTTGGCATGTAATTGGGTGGACCAAGACACCTATGATCTCATGAGTCCTGAGTCTAAATAATCACCCACTTGTCCCTCAAAATTCAAGTTGACCAGAGGATGACCAATGCAGCTCCTGGGAGATTAATGTTTAGCCTAGCAAGTCTCTCTCTTTCTCCACACACACACACTACTACTACGACTTTGCTGTCACTTGGAATCGAGCATTACGATCATCCAGCTATGATACAATGATATCAGTTATTAAAGATGTCACCTTTGTTGGTGAGCTCTAGGGTGACTTGACAGGCGGATACGGGACCGGCAGGGTCGTCCACAGATGTTGCACATCTGGAGGGGTACATCTAGTGTGAGAGGGGAGGCGGCAGCATCTTTCTGGCACTGGTGCTTGTCTACCTCAGTAAGCAGTCGGGCTAACTAGAAAGTATTGACACCTTCTCGTGTGGTGCTCCTCCAAGCATTACGGTGTGGAGTAATCGTCTCCTGGTGAGGGGGTCGATTTGGCACTTTTTCAAGTCTTTCTTAAGACAATCTTTATACCTTTTCCGTTGCCTGCCAGCATTACATTTACTATTCGTTAGGTGACTGTAAAGTAGCTGCTTTATCGGTCTACAGTACTGTCATCAGTGCGGGTAACATGGCCAGTCCAACGTAGTTGTTCATGGATAATGGTAGCCTTGATGCTCCTACAGTTGATGTCAGCAAGAATACTGCTCTTGTCTTCCCAGTGAACTCGGAGGATGGAACGTAGACTATGTTGGTGAAAATTTTCGAGTGTATTGAGGTGCCACCTGCATGTGACCCATGTCTTGCTGCCATATAGCAGGGTGGGATAATTTCAGCTCCCTACACCTGAAGACACGGGTATGGAGTCTGCCAAAGGCTTGAGATGCACATCTGACCTGATGTTGAATCTCTTCATTGATGTCCACGGTGGTGGACAGGTGGGAGCCGAGATACTGAAAGTGGGTAACATTAAAGAAAGTAGTGCCATTAAGCTGGATGGTATGGTGGAGATGTGGCTGAACCAGCAGAAGGCTGAAAGAGAATATGAGTCTTATGTACATTTACCTCAGTAATAGAAGCTGCCAATATATTTGTTCCTCCCTGGAGTCGTCTTATGTTAAAAAGACCCTTCATCCGGTACTGAATGTCCACCCCACCGGCTAAATTGGCACTGGCACAAGTAAGGAAGGCAGCCAAGAAAATGGAAAAGAGAGTTGCTGCCAGTACACACCCTTGTTTTGCCCTTTTTGGATGGGGAAAACTCAGACTGGGTGCCATTGTGCAGGACACTGTTGTTCATGCCATCGTCGAGTTGCCTCACAATGACAACGAATTTGGGTGTCCAGCCAAAACGGCTGAGGTTCCAACAGAGGGCTTCCCTGTTGATCGAGTCGAAGGGCCTTGGTCAGGTTGATGAAGACCATGTAAAGGTCACGATACAATTTTCCTGTATCTGGCGGACAGCAAAGATCATGTCAGTGGTGCATGTGATGGTTTAAAGCCATATTAAGATTCTGGGAGGAAATTTTCCACCATAGGAAGAAGTCTATTTAGTAAAAACTCACACAATATTCATTGGCTGTACAGTAGGGTATGCTATAACGAATGGATCCTACTACGAATATTCCTATAAAGAACGGTTTTACCTATAAAATTGATAATGCTATAACGAACGAAACTCGTACAACGAACATTATAATTTTTTTTTTTTTTTTTTACTAATTTATTGTTTCTGTATTACAAGTATTAATGATATTCTTTATTTCAAGGGTTTAGATGCATATTTATGCACTTTTTTACAATTTTTACAATTTAATATTATATTTTTCAGTGTTAAGTGGTTGTATTTGGGGGCCTGGAATGGATTAATCCTATAACGAACGAATGCCATAACGAACAAGGTTCTAGAACCAATTAGATTCGTTATAGCATACCCCACTGTACTTATATTTTAGACATTACCACCATTGGTGAGTAGAATTTTTGTTTTACATTCATAAATATTATTTAAAACATATATGAACAGAAAATAAGTGTTGCTTTCATATTCATATGTAGAGAAATGACAATATGTTTTCACATGCACGCACTTACTGTTCATAAGTTGGCGTTCACAATCGTCTTGCCTTATTTATTTACCATTAGTGGTTAGCTACTTCTAGTATTCCATTTATTAACATTAAATAACATTACTTAAAACATACATAAAGGTATTAAATTTTTTAAATTAAGTTCACTACAACTACAACCAGGGTCTTATTTTCTTCAGTTTCTTATGTAGAACCATCGTCACTCACGAAAACAATGTCGTCTTGTCTCCTCTTGTGTGTTTTAATACTCTACGTATTATTAATGAACTGTATTGTTCATTACGCATGTATAAAGATTAATTCAATCAAATACATATTCAGTAATAAACAATAATGAATCTTTTGCACATATTCTTAAAATAAATGACTATGTTTTCTTGAGTGAGCACGTATACATTGGGGTTTCACTATCAATCTCACTTTTTCTTTAATATCAGTGGTTACTGCTACTGTACATTAAATAACATTAATTAAAACATACATATTTTTTACATTATAACTTCAGCAATGGACTTGTTACATGGAAAGCGTAGTTTTATAATGAAGAGGAGAACCAGGGTAAACACAAACATCTTAAAGTAGGGCTTCTTTTAATTGCTAACGTTTCGGAAATAATCTTTTTCCATCATCAGAGCCTAAAAAGTTTTGAAAAAGTTTAAAAATACAGGTGATATACAATAAAAACTTCAAAATTTAAAAAAAAAATTAAAAAAGAGCAATCCACTTCAAAACCGACAAAAATGACGAGAGACCTACATACAAAGCTAAAGTCAGGAAATAAAAAGTATGAAATAAAATGTACAGGGGGGTATTACCTTAATTCAGACGAGCCTTAATGTGAAAAACATAACAATTCACTAGAGGCCATATCACAAAGCGATGGCTTTTCTTTGTACTGGTGTAATGCCTCCATAATGAGGTGGTCTGTATCAGTCGCTCTTGCCAAGAACTGAGAAATCAGACGGCGAAAACGGGTGGTCATGTTGGTGGGCATGGTTACGAATAGCTGAATGTGGTGGTTGTGTTATTAAATGGCCTGTTCGAACGGAACGGCCCAAGTGTTCATGGATGAGAGTTATCAAATGTCTTTTAGTTTTACCTATAAATGCCGCCCTACAGCTAGCACACGTAAATTGATAAACAACTGAGGATTGCAGGTGTGTGGGTATGGTGTCTTTAATTTTAAAGAATTTCTTTCTTGAACTCTGGGTTTTAAAGATTAGTCTAAGAGAAATTTGTGGATAGAATTCATTGAAAAGCTTCTTAAGTTTATTTCTATGGGTGAAACTGAGTGGGCCTGTGTACGGGATGGTGAAATAGATAGAATATTTAGGGACAGTGTGGATTTGAGGCTGTGTGGAACTAAAAAAACCTATTAAGCATTTTGCCAATTTAAGTGTCTGTAAATCTCTTAGGGAAACCATTGTTAAAGAGTAGTTCATTTATGTATTTTAGTTCAATATCAAAGTGGAAATAGCTAGAACATATATTGAAGGCTCTGTTGGTAAGAGTACGTACTAGATTACGTTTGTAATTAAGAGGAATAAAAGATGAAAATTTTGAACTCAAACCAGTGAAAGTTGGTTTTCTGTATAAGGCTGTCTTGAAACTATTATGAAGACGGTGGATATTAACATCGAGGAATGAAAGAATATTTTCCTTTTCCAATTCATAAGTAAATTTGATGTTGCCATGTTTCGAATTTAAATAATTTAGGAACATAGGGACGTGATCAAGTGATCTGAAAATTAAAAAAGTGTCATCAACATACCGACGATAGAACAAAGGCTTAAATTGGGGGGGACATTCGGTAAGCCAAAGCTTCTCGTGGTGACAGAGGAAAGCGTTGGCCAACGTGGGACCTAAAGGTGAACCCATAGCAACACCATCACATTGTTTATAAGCTTTGTTATTAAATAAAAACAAACAATCATTTACAGCCAGTTTTAAAAATTCTTTAAATTGTGGTCCATTGAATCCATCAATTATATCAGTATTTGAGAACAGTTCATCTGTACATATGTCAATAGTTTCGGCAAGAGGGATGTTGGTAAATAGAGACTGTATATCAAAGCTAGCCATAACACAGTTGTTGAATGAGATGCTAGTTAGCTCCTTAACAAAACTAAAAGAGTCTTTAACAGAGTATTGATTAATGGTGATTGGTGACAGTATGGGAACGAGGAATTTAGACAGATTATAGTTGAAGGTGCCGAGGGCAGACAATATAGGGTGTAAGGGA